GCCGGGAAGCCAACACTCAAGCCTCCCAGGCCTTAACTACAGAAACACCAGAATCCCCCACTGCAAAGGCTTCCTCTGTATGTAAGTCCCAGCCTGCTCTGCCTTTGCACTGGGCAAGCCCCTCCCACCCAGCAGTCCCCAACGAGGTCACACATAGAAGCCAGTGGTAGCCCTCTGGCTTGTCCCATAGGAGAGCTCTGAGATGCATGCCGCAGGCAACTTTCCAGGGCTGTGTCCCAGGTGCCCACGGGGACACCCTGTTCCTTAGCTCACCCTGCATGGGAGTCCTTCACTTCCCGGCTCACTTCTCCTACTGGTTCCTCCCGGTATCACCCCCCAGGTGGATACTTAACGCTCAACTCCTCCCCACCAGCTCTGCTTCTGCAGGGAGCCTGACCTAGGACCGGAAGGGCGGTCCAAGAACACCTTGTCCCTTGGTTCCAGGAGAAGGTGAAACTAGCCTTGTCTCCTTTCATGACGAGTCTAGTTCTTTACAATGAAACAAGAAAAGAAAGGAAGGAAGGAAGGAAGGAAGGAAGGAAGGAAGGAAGGAAGGAAGGACTTGAGACTAAGCACCCCCATCCATGTTCCCCTGGCTCTGATCCCCAAGCCATTTGGACAACACCCCCCTCCTAAGATTCTCATTTGTGCAGAGACAAAGCAGCCGGTTCAACATAATTAACATCTCCTTTCTGCAATTCCTAGTGTGTCCTTTGAAGCAAACAAGCCATTTTCTCTCAACATATGAAATACTGAATTCTAAAAGAGAAGCAAGATTTAAGTGGCAAGGAGGGAAGGCCTCCACGGCTTTCCTAAAATAATTGTCTGCACTGGACGCACCTCGCTGAAATGTTCTCTGCAGCAATGTAATTAAATGCCTGAGGCTCGGCTGCCAAATCTCCGCACAGCAGAGACCCGGACTTTTGCCTGGCGGGTTCAAGTTCAAATACGCAGTCAAGTTCATGTCCCCGGGACCCACTGGAGTCCTGGAAGGCTCCTTGTTTGAGAGTCCGCATGCCAGCTCTCTCAGACTGGGTTTAGCTCAGAACCTCGGTCATGAACTTGTGGAGGGCACCGTCGCAGGGGTAGAGAAGGGCCTGCCCTAAGAAATATGCTTATAACAGCAGGTGTGCGAGCCCAGGAACCGTCCAGGTACAGAAACCTCCAGTCAGGCGGCCTGTCTCACCACTGCGGGGGCAAATGTACTGGAGAAGCCAGCTGCTCTCGGCCGAGCTGCTGGTACTGAGTTTAATATTCCTGCTAATGGGCTCTAAGCGGGTAAGCTATGCGCTCAAGTAGCCGCTTCTCAAATCGTCTTTTGTGGCTGCGATTTTTTCAAATACTTTCACCAAGGATGCTGCGCCCCAATTAAGGCAGCAGTCCCCCGTGACAGGTCCAGGATTGACACGCAGGAAAAATTCCTCTCGCTGTCACACCCTGGCTCATCATCGCGGCCTACGGCTCTGCCACTTACATCCTGGTTCAAAAACAATTCCTGGCTCTTCCAGGGGCGGAAGGATCGCTTACAGGATCCCGGGCCAGCCATCCGTGGAGCACTGGCTACCGGGGTTTACCCAACAGGAACAGAGCTAGCGGCTGCCTCTTAATAAGACAAGGATATTATTGCATTTGAGGCTGGGTAATTTAATCAGGAGGCAGAAGTGGCTTGGGGCATATATATTTATTTGTACCCTGCCTTGTTCCAGAGAGGGCTGCAAGTGGTTTACGAGGACATGTAAACCACCACACGATAGCT